AACCTCACCAAGGGCTTAAGAATATACATTTTTATCATGCTTATCATTTTTTTAATCGTAATATTAGTTTGCATTCTAGTTTTAGCCAAAATTTAGTGGAGAAGCACGATATTTCAGATGACAATCTCAGTAATCGCAGTATGGGATTATCTGCAGGGGATATAGGGGATACCTATATTGGGATATCAATATCGTAGGATAAATGGGATATCTATAGATATCAGGGGTATCTATAGATATCAGGGAATATCTACAGCGGTTCCTCTACTATTTTTTAATCTGGGTAATTCTTACAGAGCGACAGCATTTATGTAACACTGTTGATAAATGGTGGCTATATTACAAAGGTGGCTATCAGACATCTATCTATCAGCTCAGCGGATTAGAACCTGTGTTTATAGGTTAGTCAACTGTCATCACATCCATCAAATCGCTGCCCAAACGTCGCACCGCAATTCATCCTTCTGGCAACTCAGCTGGATGCTAGCCACTATATTCATAGGTTAATCATTCCTAGTCCTCAAAAATCCTTATCTTGCCACGCAAATCAGCTTACTTGTTTCTAAACCAACAGTCACAAATACATACATACATACCTACACGTACTCCACAACCCATACATGCATAGACAATAGCTTGTTTTGCCACCATTGTTCCATTAATCAGATGTAATTTTTACCATATTTATCCCTAAAATGTATTAAGAACAAGTTTTCAGTAACCCCACAGCTCATTCTCTTCAAGTAATCTGAAATTTTTGTTCTGTTAATTCATATTAATGCATACCAATCAGCAAGATAACCATATTATTCAAGCAACTCAAAATATTATTAAATACCCTATTTTATTCAAACTCACCAAATATTATAATTACACGAATAAATACCCGCCTGCATACTATTCATATGGGTAAACCAGGGTGTATATGTCATATTGAAATAAATATATTAGTAATTATTACATAAAAAGCTAAGGTTGTGATAAGGCGTACTAAAATATATTAATATAACACGATTCATACAGAATGGCACACACTACTGCCCGAAACGCTATGCGTGCTAGTGGCTTTACAAAAATGTAAAACTTCAAGTCTCTGTACTCTAATAAACCCAATGTACCTTCTTGTATATAAATAAACAAATATATAAATACATAAATTAATGAATAATTTAGTGTTTACACTAAAAATACACAAAATAAAAAACATACAGTATAAAACACATACACATTTGCACTCAATATAGCATTTATGCACAAAGCATTTCCACACAAGTATCACGTTTACACAGAAAATACAACATTCACACACAAACTATGTCATTTATGCACATATTTACACACAAACTATGTCATTTATGCACATATTTACACACAAAATATATCATTTGCACACAAAATATATCACTTACTCACAAAATATGTCATTTACACATAAAATATGTAATTCACACAAGAAATATACCATTTATAGACAAAATATGACAGTTGCACACAAAAATATACCATTTACACAAATATTGCATGTACATTCAGAGTATAACATTTACACAAAGTATGGTATTTCCACAAACATACCAAATTGCTTATACACTTATACAATTTAATACAGTTTCACTAAAATTACACAATTTCACAAACATAATTTTCACAAAATACCCACACACTGTCACATAAACCAAAATACACTTTCAGCCGGCATGGGAGGGTCGGCTCCACGATAATCGTCAATATTCTCGGGCTTATCAAGGCTACAGTGATAGATCACAGATCTCGGGTATCACAAAGTGTATAACCGCACATAGGAGAGAAAAATACAGTGCTATCACTAGAACTTTGTGTTAAACAGTGACCAATCACCAGCACAGGCCACGTGGGAGAGCCACAAGGCATTTGTTTACCTATTGGTACCAAGGGTTATTTGGACTCTAGTGAACAGTGGTACAGTAAATTAGTGAACTGTAACACAACAGACATAACGATACAGTGACTGACTCCAGAGCTTTGTGTTAGATAGAGAAGAACCGCCATCATCAGTCTACTGGCACTTAGTGAAGCACCACGTGGGAGGCGACGGATCACCTGGTCATCCAGACATCTCCTTTATGCATCTAGTTGTGTGAGCGGGAAGCCCTGACTGGTATCTACCGCCTCTTGTCAATTATTCTGGTGTTCAGAGTGAGGTAAAATATTATAAAATTCTTGTTCAGTATATCATATATCATATATACATATATATCATATATATCTTAAAGTGGCTCATTCCGGGTAAAGGTTGACACTTAAGGGGCCCTCGTGACACACGCACGCAGGCACGCACATGCACGCACGCACATACACACGCACACACATATGCATGCACATGGGGGGCCTCGTAGCCTGGTGGATAGCGCGCAGGATTCGTAATTCTGTGGCGCGGGTTCGATTCCCGCACGAAGCAGAAACAAATGGGCAAAGTTTCTTTCACCCTGAATGCCCCTGTTACCTAGCAGTAAATAGGTACCTGGGAGTTAGTCAGCTGTCACGGGCTGCTTCCTGGTGTGTGTGTGTGTGTGTGTGTGTGTGGTGTGGAGAAAAAAAAAAAAAAAAAAAAAAAAAAAAAAAAAAAAAAAGTAGTTAGTAAACAGTTGATTGACAGTTGAGAGGCGGGCCGAAAGAGCAAAGCTCAACCCCCGCAAAACACAACTAGTAAACACATACACGCAAAAGGGCGTGGAGAAACTATAGGAATAACAGGACACCTGAGAGCAGAGAAAGATAACAGAGTGCCAGGAATGAATATGTCAGGATGAGAAGAGAGGCAGAAAGACAATACGAAAATGACATCGCAAGCAAGGCAAAGACTCAGCCTACATTGCTGCACAGCCACATCAGGAGAAAAACAACAGTGAAGGAACAGGTTATGAAATTAATTTAAGGATAGCGGCAGAAGGACAAGGAAGTGTGTGAGGGTTAAATAAGAAATTCCAGGAGGTCTTCACCTTAGAGCAAGGAGAAATTCCAGAGATAAGAGAGGGAACCAGGAACCACTAGAAGAGTTTGAGATTAACAATGGGGAAGTAAGGAAGTGTTTACTAGAGTTGGATGTGACAAAGGCTATAGTCCCAGATGAAATCTCTTCTTGGATACTAAAGGAAGGAGCAGAAGAACGTACTGTGCCTGCCACTCTCCATAGTGTATAACAAATCACTGGCAACAGGGGAACTGCCAGAAATTTGGAAAGCAGTTATTATAGTCCCAATATACAAGAAAGGGGATAGACAGGAGGCACTGAACTACAGGCCAGTGTTCCTAACCTGCATATCATGCAAGATGATGGAGAAGATTGTGCGAAGATTGTGCGGGCAACGCCTCACCTCATTCATCTCCAAAGGTTGACAGGAATATTAACAATGCATTTGGAGCGAGTATATTATTGGGATAATCTACTCGCTACAAAAGCTAGTGGAACATCTAGAGCTAAAGAACTTTGAAACACAGCATCAACATGGGTTCAGGGATGGCAAGTCCTTCCTCACAGGGTTACTTGAATTCTACGACCAGACAAGAAAGAGAGGGGTAGGCAGACTGCATATTTTTGGATTGCCAGAAAGTCATTGATACAGTACCATAGAAGAGGCTAGTGAAAAAGCTGGAGTGAAAGGGAAGGTACTACATTGGATAAAGGAGTACCTAAGCAACAGAAGACAACGAGTCACTGTGAGGGGTGATGTCTCAAATTGGCGAGACGTTACAAGTGGAGTCCCGCAGGGGTCAGTCCTTGGACCTATACTGTTTCTGATATATGTAAATGCATATCTACACCCAGAGGGTGTACACGAGTCTACACTCAGAGGGAGTACACTCGTTTCTCAATGTTTGCTGATGAAGCAAAAACTATGAAGAGGATTGAAACAGAGGATGATAGTAGGAGGCTACAAGATGACCTAGACAGACTGAATGAATGGTCCAACAAATGGCTGCGGAAGTTCAACCCGCGTAAATGCAAAGTAATGAAGCTAGGCGGTGGAAACAGGAGGTCAGACACAGGATACAGAGTAGGTGTTAAAGTACTCAATGAAACGGACAGAGAGAAAGTTCTAGGAGTTAATATCACATCAAACCTGTCTCCTGAAGCCCACATAAAAAAGAATTTTTGCCCGAATTCAGAATTCACATGCCCGAAACGCTTTGCGTAATAGTGGCTTTAGGCATTGTATGTACTAGCTATACCTATAAGTTAAACAATCCCTGTAAATATTTATTGTATGTATGTACCTTACCTAAATAAAATTGTATTGTATTGTATTGTATTGTAATTACGTCTGCGGCATATGCGAGGCTGGCTAACATCAGAACAGCCTTCAGGAACCTGTGTAAGGAATCATTCAGAATCTTGTATATAACTATTAATATTATTATTGGTAATATAAAGATAAAGATAAGTAGGCAGGTTTTGGGCAGATCTAGACATCCCGAAAGGCTTTGCCAGTTAGTGGCTTAAATAGAATGTAAGAACACCAATGTTATGAACTCTCTCGAGAAAATGTATCTTCTTGTATATAAATTAATAAATAAATTAGTTTGTTTAATTCTAATGCTTGTAGGCGAGAACAGTTGTGAACGCCAGCTAGCGCACAAGTATATGAGCGCCCAAAATACTTTTACACAAGACATGTACAGACAGGCGTGTGGCTTCTGACTTCTTTTTTATTGATTAATATTAAATATTAGGCGTTTACCTATAATAGTTATCATTTTATAAAAGTATAACTATCACATAATAAATATAAAAGGAGTTTATCCAAAAACTGAAAGAAGTGTTGTGTTTTGTGCGTTGTATCGTGTTTGTGGGCATTCAGGGTGTGTTGTGTTTACGCTGGCGGGCGGCGTATTTACCAGCTCCGGATTATGTCTATTACAGCACTAAACTTCATTTAATAACTATATGCCTGTTAAGTAGAACATTTAATTTAGTAGCATTATATTGTCGTTTTAATATGGAATACGTACACATTTGCGAAACGTCCAAAGCTGGTGTCCGAAGTGATAAAAATATTAGTGTACGATATCAATGTACAGAGTGTCTTGTATCCAAATAAATGCATCTCAGCATGGAGGTATGAGGCCGAATGTGGCAACACTGGCGGTCTCCATGTTTGTCAACAAAGCACCAGCGGCCAGTTGTCCTTCACACAAACTGTGCGTGTCATGAAGGAAAGGGTTTCCTTGCCATGTGAAGATCTTTCTATGAGTTATCGTGGAAGAGATTGACATGTGAAGTAAGTGAGACTGCAGGGCTGTTTGACGTAATATATTGGTTACGGTGCCATCAAATTTGAGAACACGGAGGCGTTCATTGAGCAGTTCATTGCTTTTATGAATATAAATTTCCAGTTGTTGAAGACAGGAATCCTGTTGGGTCCGTCTAATTACCACAAGCTACACAAAGCTTCCTGGCAATACATTAATAATGAATAAATAAGATAGGTTAGGCTGACCTAACCTAACCAACCCAAATCAAACCAAACCAAACCTAACCTAACCTAACCTAACCTAACCTAACCTAACCTAACCTAACCTAACCTAACCTAACAGGCGCTTGGATCGTCGACTTGATTTGGCGTCACCAGCTCTTTATTTTCGTCTAATTTCTTTATCAAAAAATACTTTTTCAGATTAAAATTATGTTTTTTCGTGTTGTACATTCAGCACCAACATTATAATGAGTAAATATATCATATTTATTCATTACTAACGTATTGCCAGGAAGCTTTGTGAAGCTTGTGTAGCTTGCGGTAATTAGACAGACCGATTCTGTTTGGCCTATTGAAATACCTCAAGGTAACCTGCTGATTTTTCCCCGGGATGCAACATATAACAGTTGCCTAATTCATGGGTACCTATTATACTTTCTTACAATGTACCTGTAAATATTTTTTAATTTTGCTAGAAATCACATAATTAAAATTGTTAGATTAAGTACCTGCCTGAAATGCTATGCGTGCTAGTGGCTTTACAAGAATGTAAAACTTCAATTCTCTGTACTCTAATAAACCCAATGTACCTTCTTGTATATAAATAAATAAATAAATGAATAATAAATAAAATAAATAATATGTAAATAACTCTGTTCTTCTCTCACTATATTATGCACTAATCTATCCCTATCTTAATTATGGTATCTGTACATGGGGTACAACCACTTGAAACCACCTCAAGTCCATCATCATCCAGCAAAAATCTGCTATCAGAACAATAACAAACTCTGCTTTCAGACAACACTCAGACTTAGTCTATGGGAACTTACTCCCTAATGAATTGAAAAGCTGTCCAACTTTTGCCTTATTCAAAAACAAAAACAAAAAGTACCTAATTTCATCTTTAGTTTCGTACCTAGTGCTTGAAACTCACACTGTATCTAGTGCTACCCAATCTCCCAATTTTTATGTACATAAACAACACAACTTTACCATTGTGATCATTGCTGTCATTTTATAGGTGGTATCAATATGCTTTATTGTGCCTATTAATCTTTGTTAAATTATCAATCTAGATGCTATCATTGCTATCAATTAAAGCTATCAATGTGCTTTAATATACCTACTAATCTCTCAATTTTTTCTTGCAATGTACCTGTTAACATTTTATAAATTTTGCTAGAATTTACCTTCTTAATATTATCTCTTAGATAAAGGACCTGCCCAAAATGCTGTCTGTACTAGTGGCTTTACAAGAATGTAAACACAATACTATGTGCTCTCACAAACCTAATGTACCTTCTTGTATATAAATAAATGTTCCCCGCTCTGCTCCTTTTGTACTACTTGCTAATCTATCCCTATCTAACATACTTAACATACTGTATCTATGCATTTAGTTCACTTAATGCAAACTACCTCAAGCCCACTGCTAAATGCTTTTTAATATTGACAAATTTCAAGATCTTGCATGTGGTGCATAGCAACCCATGCCACAACTTCCAAATTAATAACATTACATTACAGCAGATTGATGAAGAAAATGACCTTGCAGTCAAAATCCACCATTCACTGAAAGTTGCACAACAGGTATGAGCAGCAGTCAGAAAAGCTAACCAAACCCTTTGGAATAATCAAGCATACCTTTAACTTTAAGGAAAAGAAAGTAGTACCTGGATTGTACCTGTACGGGGTTCTGGGAGTTCTTCTACTGCCCTAGCCCAGCCTGAGGCCAGGCTTGACTTGAGAGTGTTTGGCCCAACAGGTTGTTGCTTGGAGCAGCCCGCAGGCCCATATATCCAATTTTCTCTTGAAAACATACACATTTGTTTCGGCAATATTTCTTAAGCTCGCTGGGAGTATGTTGAACAACCATGGTCCTCTGATTGTGCCTGTGGCACCTCTGCACCTCACTGATTTTGTTCTGCATTTCCTTCCATATCGTTCACTCCAGTATGTTGTTTTATTTTATTTATTTATTTATGCATATACAAGAATGTACATAAGGAATGTGAGGATACAAATATGGTAATTACAGTCTTGTAAAGCCACTAGCACGTGCAGCGTTTCGGGCAGGTCCTTAATCTAAGAAAATTTTAAGGAGGTAAATACTTGCAAAATTTATAGACAAAAAAATAATAACAGATTACATGAAATGAAAAAAAAAAAAAAAAAAAAGAAGATGAGAGAAAATTGTAGGTACAGTATATTAAAGCACATAGGTAGCTAAGATTGATTGCAATGACAGCTTAAAATGGTAGTTGACAACAAATTGGTAGGCACAATACAGCAGAAACAATATAAGATTGATTGCAATGACAGCTTGAATGGTAGTTGACAAAAATTGGTAGTCACAATACAGCATATGGCTAGCACATAAAAGAAGACAGCAATGAACACAATGATAAGGTTGTTTGACATTACATAAAAATTAGGAGATTGGGTAACACTAGGTACAGAGCAAATTTAAAGCTCTGTACAAATTTAAAGCAAATTGTTATTTTACTGCGTAGATTTGGGACTTAGCCCTCCAGTATTTTCCATGAATATTGTTTGATACTACTCTCGTCTCCTTTCTAGTGAGTACATTTGGAGAGCTTTGAGATGATCCTAGTAATTTAGGGGGCTTTATCATGTCTATGTATGCTGTATATATATATATAATCTGTATTCCCTCCATTTCCGCAATCTCCTACTCTGAAAGGGGGAAAGTGTGTATCAAGCAGTACTCAAGATGGGCAGCACAAGTGATTTGAACAGTACAATCATTGTGAGGGGATCCCTGTATTTGAAGATTTTTGTAATCAATCCTATAATTTTTCTGGCTGATGCTATATTTATTTGCTTGGTTATGATCCCTAAATGTTAAGTCATCAGACATCATTATTCCCAAATCCTTTATATGCTGCACAACCTACTATAGGCAGTTTTGATTGCATTTTGTACCCTGTATTTTGTTTAAGGTCCTAATTTTTACTGTACCTGAGTACCTGGAATTTATCACTTTTAATTTAACACATAAGGTGAAATCAATAGGTACATTGTAGCAAAATTTAAATTCAACATGATATCTACAACATAAAATGACAGGGATGATTACATTGTGTTTTGCACCCTGTATTTTGTATAAGGTCCTAATTTTTACTGTACCTGAGTACCTGGAATTTATCACTTTTAATTTAACAGATATGGTAAAATCAATAGGTACATTGTAGCAAAATTTAAGTTCAACATAATATTTACAATGTAAAATGAGAGGGATGATTACACTGGTGAAGATGTACATCTCAGGTACTAATATTTGGGGAGTGGATAGCTCAAGATACAGTGAGAGTTTGATGCACAAGGTAGGAAACTTATGAGGATAAAATTAGGTACTTTTTGGTTTTGCTTTTGAATAATTCATAGGTTGGACAATAGTTTAATTCATTAAGGAGAGAGTTCCATAGACTGGGTAATTTTATTTGCATGGAGTGTTTGCACAGATTTAGTTTGACTCTGGGTATATCAAAGATATTATTTCTGGTGTGGTGCTCATGGTTTCTATTATATCTACCAGGCAATGTGATGTAGTCATTGTGCAAATTTGCCTTGGCTATAGGCACATCTGGCAGGTTAGTGAGGCTGAGTCACTGCCAGAATATTCAGCTTGTAAACTCTAGAGACAAACCTTTAAGGTATTCCCTCTTTCACTCTATATTGTTAAATGTGAAACCGTAAAAGATTTTAGACCTATTGGCCTATTATACAGTACCACCAACTGTGTAACTATTTCATTGAATCTGGTGAACTGGACAACATCCTAACAATTTATCCTAAATTTATTTCCATTTTAAAGAATGAAGAACAGTTATATTTATTTTATTTTTTCCCAGCCCTTGTGTGGCAGAGCACAATAGAAAGTTGGATTTACAAATTTGTAAATTGAAACATGTATACTATCTAATGTAGTTGATTGTATCTGTTACACATGTTACGTATGATGTGGGAGTCTGGATAAGAATCAAGGTAACGGAGTTCCACATGACTGAGTTAGGAAAGCCCCCAGGAAAACAATTCCCAGCAAATAGAAGAACTATAATGGTCTCTTTGTCTAGAGCAGGTCACTTTACCCAATGCAAGAGGAGTGATGGAAAGTCCAGCTGAAATTTTACCTTAATATAATTTATTAACCCTAAACCCCCCAAGTACAACTAGTGGTAAAGTTTACTTTTCCTTAACCCTTCAACTGCACAACGCGCCTGCAGGCTCACGTCTGGTTTACGCAACGCGCCTCCGGGTATTTGTATTTTTCACGTTCAATTCAAAACTCCCGCAGCTACATGGGGTTCACATCGGCTTCCTCACGGCTCTTGTAAACAAACGCCATCTTTAAAAAAAATCGTGGTCCACATTCCCGGGTGTGGGAGCCTCAGTAGTGAGTGAGCAACCAAGGCTGGTGCTCGCAGTATGAGCGCACAGCACTGCTGTTAAGCGTGTGACCACAGCATCGCCTAATAATGTCAAAATATATATATATATAACTAATATTATTTAGCCATGAGAGTATTATAGAAGAGCCTGAGTGTGATAATGACTGGGTACAATGTTCAAATATCAGTGATTCAATGCTGTTCACTATGTTCACAGCGCTAGCCACAGCACCACAGCATTTCGTCCATCAAGGAATCTTCAAATGACTTCTTAGGTTCCTTTTCAAAATAAACGTGTGGTCAATTATTCATTTACAGGAATTTGTGACCAGGATTGTGATAATAGCAGGATTGTGGTTATAATTAGCATTGTGCGTAGTATTGTGGAAG